ACCCCACCCCACCCCAACCCCAACCCCAACCCCAACCCCAACCCCAACCCCAACCCCAACCCCAACCCCAACCCCAACCCCAAAACCCTAACCAAACATTGACCCCAAAAAAATAAAAATATCTTTTTACTTTTATAAATTATTTGTTTCATAAATTTTTTGTTTTTTATTATAGAATATCTATTTATATCTATAATTTATAATTTTTGAATAATAAAAACTGATTTTTAAACTTTAATTAAAAAATATATAATAAAATATTAATAAATTCTAAAATAATTAAAATAATATAATTATAAAAATATTTACAAAAAATTAATATTAAAAATATTTAAAAATAAAAATTATATTATATAAAAAATAAATTTGTATTTTATATAAAAATTTATAAATATTTTTATATATTTAAAATAAAAATAAAAATATTTAATATTTATTTTCTACATTATATTATAAATATCTTATGTTTATTATAAAAAGCTTAAATGCACTTGTTATAATTTATTATGTTTAAAAACTTTCACATAATTAATTAGCTTCAATATCTTAAATAACTTTGTTTTATATTAAATCACTATTAGTTTCACAAACTATCATATTTAAATTATGCTACAATAGCTTACATCGACTCTCAAATATTTATTTGTAACTGATTTAAATATTTTTTATCTTGCCCTATGCCAAATTTAAAGTTTAATTTTTTTTATCTTAATTAACTACTTTTAATAAAATTCTACTCATATTTTGAAAATATTTTAAAATTTTTTTTTGGTATTATACAACTTTTATTTATAATAAGTTTTTTTGTAATTATTTTTAATTTACACTTTTATTCTTGAAAATAATGAAGTAATGAGTTTTAGTAATAGAAGGATTTTAAAATAATAATAAAATTAAAAATTAATTCTTATTTGTTATATTATAATTCTTCTAATAAGTAATTATTTATTATTTAATAACAATATATAATTATCACTTTTAACTATATTTTTTATAAAATTTTTATTAATTTTATAAATTAATAATATATTTAAATTATGATTGCTAAATTATATTAAATTTATGCGTTTTTTACATTAGTAAAATAAATTATTTTTTTACAGAAAATTATATAAAAAGTAAACCTAATGAACTAACAAAATATATAGTTTTATTTAAATAACGCTAGAATAAAATCAAACAAAGATATAATATATAAAATATCCTAAAATTATTTTTGTAAAAATAAAAAGTCTTAAAACAAAAATAATAAATAAAAGCAAAATTACAATTTATATTGAAAATAATATTAATACTCATAAATATTTAAATTAAATAAAATATAATTATTATTTATTAATTTAGAGTAATCTGTTTAAAAATTATAATAATTTTCGCTGCTAATAAATATTTTTTATAACATAACTTTATAAATTTAAATAAGAAATTTTTTAAATTATAAATTTGAAATATGAAGAAAATAGATAAAAAATCTTATATTATATTAAAAATAAATAAAAATTTATTCAATTATTTAAATTTTTTTTTTTTTTATTTATATTTTTTTCAATCATTATTCTAATTTATTTAGTACAAAATCAAAATAAATAAACTTTTTATTTAAAACGTCTATAATTTCTGCACCTTTTTTAATTAAATCCTCCACATTTTAATTTTGAATTAGAAAGGCTTCCTAAATAGTTTATTAATTTGACTCTTTATCTGGAACTATTTAACTAATTGTATATAATTATTGTAATTACTACTTTTTTTATTCTATGTTTAAAATGGGATCAAAATTTAAAACATTTTTATATTTTTAAATTTATTCAAGTTTATCAATTATATTATAAATTTCTTATTCAAATTTAAGAATTAATTCAATTTTAACTTTGGAATTGATGATTTATTATGAATAATTTAATTCACATTAATTTAAAAAACTAATAATATTCTAAACTATAAATATATATATATAATATATATATATATATATATATATATTTAATTATTTTTAAGTAAAAAATAAATATAAAACATTACTTTATTTTTAAATATCTTATCCCGGGTTTTGTTAAATAGCAATTTAATTTGTACAATTATTTAATATTTTTCTAATTTTTGTTTCTGATTTTTATATATATTCAATTAGAGATAAATTTATTTAATTTTATTCCTATTGATTTAATTTTTGTAATAACTCGGGTTCTCCAATAATATTTTCTAATTATTCTAATCTCTTTATTAATGCTTCCATTATTATTTATATTTTTAAAATCTAAAAAATTATTTATAAAAAATTAATTATTATATTTATTAATTTTTTTATATCTATGAATTATTATTTAAATTTATTTATATATTTTTTAAATTTTCAAGAACTAATATAAAAATAAAAAAAAATTAATTAATTATAAAATATATAAATAAACTAATATGCATTTGAATATTTTTTATATATATATTATTAAAAAACATAGTATTTTTACTTAGATGATTGAACATCAATTAAAAAAAATGCCTGAAGATTTTATAAAATAAGCATATAAATATTTATTACTATATTTCTTATTCTTATTTTATAAAATTATTTTTTATGAATTTTATTTTTAATAAAAATATAATATAATTAAATATTTTATGACTTTTATATTTTAATATAAATTCACTTTTATTTGTTTGCTATTGATAAGATATTTATAAAGTTTTATATTTTTTATAACATCATAAAAATTGATGTTGTCTACAATGTAAAAATAAATCAACATAAAATAAATGATATTTTTTCTTTTATAAATTCATTATTTTAAATTTATCTTATTTATCAAAACTTAAACTTAATTTATTTCATACGTAGGTTTATCTCTTAATTTGACTTCATTAAAATCTATTAAAAAAAAATTAATTTCATTATATATTTAAATTTTATTTTTTTAAAATTACCTAATCTTCTTTTTTTCTTCTTCTTTCAGCTGCAAAAACAAATACAGTTGTAGGATATTCTATTCACAAAAATAATTAAAAAAATATAAATTGTTTTTATATATTAAATCTAAAAAATATTTTTTAAAATTGATAAATTAAAATTTCAATAATCTATATTTTTATTTTTAAACTCTATATATATTATTACAAGCGAAAGTATATGCTGGTACAAAGAAGAGTGCACAATCTACACCCCATCTAACAAACCATGGTATATTAATCATTTTATTTTTGAAATATTTATTTATATAATATTTTCCTTAATTTATAATCAAATCAAATATAAATAATTAAATAAATTGATTAAATATAAAATAATATAATTTTATAAAATTAATTTATTATATTAATATCATATGAATTTTACTTTTAATTATTTTAGAGTAGTCCAAACCGAAATCCTCCTAAATACATAATTTTTATTAATAGATAAATTGTTTAAATTATTTAATATTTTTAGATATCTTTATAAAAATTCTTTATAATTTAAATAAAGTAAATTAAAATGATGTTTATTTACATAAAAACATTTATATATATAGAAACAATAAATTTTTAATAAATGCGTAAAAATAATGTTTTTTTACGCAATTAATATAGGCTTAATGGTAAATAAATGCAATTAAATGAATAAAAAAAACAATAATAAATTTATTATATAAATTCTATTATATATATTTATATATATATATATATATATATATATATATATATATATATATATATATATATATATATATATATATTTTTTTTAAAAAAAATTATTATTATTAATTAATAAAATATGTTTATAATTATAATTTCTTTATTATTCATATGACAATAATTAATATAAAAATATTTTATAAATTTTTTTTAAAATGTTTATCTTTTAATTTTTATAAGTACATTTTATTTAAGGATTATAAAAAATATAATATAATTAATATTTTTTTTAATTTATTAAAAAAATTATTTAAATTTTCTTTTATTTGCATATTATTTAAATTGATTAGAAATGTTTAAAAAAGATAAATAATAATATTTGTATTTATAACTATTTGTCCCTAAATAAAATTAGTAAATTTTGGTTTTTTGTGTTTAGAGAAATAACTTTTTGTTTAGAATTTTTGATAAAATTTTATGAAAACTATAATAATTTTTTTTTTATTTTTAAGAGTCTTTTTTATGTTGTTATTTTTATAAATATATTATTATTTATTTTATTTTAAATTTCATAATTGCAATTTACTTTACTTAAAAATATATATATTTAGTTTATAATTTTTTTTTTATTTAATAATTAAATAATATATAATGAATAATTATTTTTTTATTATCAATATTTCATAAAATATATTATTTTATTTATAAGATTTTCAATTTTTAATATTGTTTTTCCATTTAAAAGTTTTATTTAAAAATTAAGATTTACTATTATAATATTTAATAAAAAAATATTTTATTTCTCTATTTTTAAATAAAATAATTTTAAAAATTATTTTTAATTATTTTATTTGAAATAAAATATAATTATTTGTATTTATTTTATTTACTATAAAATGTAAATCGAATATAATAATATAAAGTTATAAAATAAAACTTATATTATATTTATTGAAATAATTATCAAAAATAAATTATTAAATAGATACTATAATATTTATTTTTAAATAAAATGACAGACAAAGACAATAAAAAAGATTTCAGTAATTATTAAAATAGTCCTATTTAAGATAAAAAGTGCACTGATGTAATTTGCTGTATAATATATTTACTATTCACTATTGCCTTTTTAGGAATAGCCGTATTTGCCTTTATGAACGGCAAACCTAATATATTAGCCTAACCATACGATATGAATCATCAAGCTTGTGGAATATCAGGAAATGAGGACTACAAATTTATATATTTCCCAAATCCTTCAAACATTAAGGAAAATGTTTGTATAGAAAGCTGTCCATAAAAAGATTAAAATTCTGTAAAATGCTTAAAAAATGATTTGTGTAAAGATGGATAGTTATAAAAAGGCTAAAATTTAAAAGTATTAATTTATGAATCTCGAGGAGTGTATAATAAAATATGTATTCCATATGATAAAGATTTCAGTAAAAAAGTATTAAATACAATAGATATAGACAAAATAGAAGCATTGGCTTCTGATTTAAGAAATACATGGATGATTTGTAGTTTATCTTCAATTATTGCAATTATAATTGGGTAAAATATTTTTAAATTTTAATTATAAAATAATTATATATGAAAAGTATACTATTTATGATTATAATAAGAATGTGTGCTGGAAGTGTGGTTTGGTTGTTTATTATTATTATATTTTCAAGTTTATTAACTCTTGGTATATTATTCTTATTTTAATATAGATAAAATACAAATCCAATTGATATGTAAATAAATAAAAAATATAAAAAATTAAAAAAATATTAAAAATATATATATATATTTATATATTTATATATTTTATTTTTATTTATATTTATATTTATATATTTTCATATATTAAGTTCAACTAGTAAATAAGCATAATAAGTTGCTGAAGCTATGAGTAAATTTAAAGATAAAAATTAATGTTTAGTTTTTAGTATAATCTTATTTAGTTTAGCCGGATTATTTTTTTTGTTTATATTATGCTCATGTAATAGAATTAAAATATGTACTTAAATTATAAAAGTAATATTTATATATTAATATATGTTAAAAATATAAATTATTTTCATATTTTAGGCTGCTGCTAGATTTATAATGGATAATCCAAGATTATTACTAGTTTCCTTAATTACATTTATTTTTAGTTTTATTTATTTCGCTTTCTGGTTCATCATTGCTATTTATTTATATTCATCAGGTGGAATTACTGATTAAGTAAAATTATTATAATTTTTAATAATTTTTTTTTAATAATATAGCCGGGATCCTTACCTTTTGGATAAGTTAAAATGACCAGGGAAATTCAAATTATGGGTTGCGTACATATATTTGCTTTATTTTGGAATGAAGCTTTTATTTCAGCCTCTATGTAGTTTATTATTATAGGAGCTGTGGCATATTGGTATTATTAAGTTCCTGAAGTAGATGACTCACATACAACAATGAGTGCTAAATCTTATTTTGCAAATCATTTAGGAACAGCTGCTTTAGGGTCATTTATTTTAGGTGTTATTTAATTTTTATAATTAATAGTTTAAATTATTGAAGTAATTTTTTTAAAAATAATTATATATATATATATTAAAAATTAAAATAGAATTAATTAAAATCTGGGGATGGGTCTGAAAATGTAGTAGTTAAATTTGTAATGAAATGCTTATAATGTTGTCTTGCTTGTTGTAATTAATGTGTTAAGAAAATCAACTAAAATGTATATGTAATATCTTTTGTTAAAGGAGAAAGCTTTTGTGATGCTGTATCTTCATATTTAGGTTTATTTGCTTCTAATCCACTTAGAATTTCATTAGTTTCTGGTTTCGGATACTTTTTTGAAATTCTAGGAAATTTTGCAATTTCAGGAATTACTTCATTAATTTGTTATTAGATAATAACTTAAACATCATATTATTAAGCAAGGGTCGAAAATCCATTAGCCCCTGTTTTTGTATTTAAATTTAAAGTTAAAAGTATATTGAAATATTTTTTTAAAGGTTATTGCAATCGTGAGTTTTTTTGTTGGAAGTTTTATTATGTCATTGTTCAGTGTTGTAGGAGAAACTATGATAGTTATTTATTGTATTTAGGATGCTGGAGGATCTAAAAAATCTCAAAATTGTCCTAAGGTTTGAAATTTTATTTAATTTTATATTTAATTAAAATATAAAGGAATTAGAAGATTTTATGGATAAAAATTGAGTTTTTTTATTAAATTTTTGACTAAAATTTTTATAATAATCATTTTTATAATATAAAAAAATAAATAACAAAAAATTTAAATATATTTAAATTTCTTATTTTTTTAAAAAAATAAAGTATACTTAATTAATATAAATTTATTAATTTAATCATATAAAAAAAGAAGAAAAAAAATAATATAAATAAAATATGATTTCCAAAAAGAAATAATTATCTGAAAATTATCTTCAAAAATTAAAAACAAGTTTAAGCCATCAAAAACAAATATAATTAAGTTAAAATACCTTAATAAATCCTAAAAATCCTACAATAAAGACCACAACTCAAAATAAATTACATAAATCTTATAACTCTTCCCTTTTATAAAAAACCCACAGTTAAATCCCATCATCAGCATAATTCTAACAAAAATTTTACTCATCCTCAAAACCTTATTTAAAATTAGCAAACGATAAATCATTGAAATCTTAAAAATCTGAAAAATAGGAAAAATTCAAAACTTTTAATGATTTTTAACAAAATAAAATGCGCATTATAGATTAAAGTAATACAAAAAAATAACAAAAGTTAGCACAAGAATATTAAAATAAAAGAATTCACAAAAATCAAATAATTTTAAAATGTATTAAAATTAAGAATTACTATCTGTATTAAGTTAATAAATAATTTTTGTAGGTATAATACACAGGAAAATGCTAACTAAAGATTAATAATGTAATCTTAAGTAAGTAATATTAAATAAATAGTACTGAAAGTGAAGACCTATCCAAATCTAAACTTTACTAATAATAGTAAATTTTAAAAATGGAATTTCCTTACATTGCCAGGGCTTTAAATGATGTTGGAGAAGATAGAATAACGAAGATATATAATAAATCTAAATTAATGAAAATTATAAGAATAAAAATTATCAAATTTCTGAAAAAAAGATTATGTAAATCAATTTGAATTATAAAGAGAATATTATACATTACGAATTAGAAACAAAAGAAAGAAATATTTAATATTTAATTAATTTCTTAATTAGAAGAATATATTATTTTGAAAAAAATAAACTTAATAACTCTCATGAAGAATCTATATATGAATAATTGGGTAATATAATTAGTTTTGTTTCTTCAAATAATAATATTGCAGTTTCTTATTATTTTACTCAGAAAAATAGACCGATTTCGATTTTTAATAAAAAATGTATTAACATTTAACCATTTTATACGCAAAAATAAAATAACACAATTAAATAAGTAGGATTAGAAGACTTTAACATTATTAAATGCATCGGACTTGGGGGGTTTAGCAGAGTTTATTTAGTTCAAAAGAAAGATAATGGAAAAATGTTTGCACTTAAATTAATAGATAAATGCTTTATTATTGAAAATAAAAAAGAAATAATTGTTTAGAATGAAAGAAATATAATGATAATTGTTTTACATCCTTTTTTACTTAAAGTTGAATATACTTTTGAAAGTAAAAGCTATTTAGGTTTCATCATGGAATATTGTGCAGGAGGGGAATTATTTTATCATTTAAGAAGAATTAAAAGAATGGACGAGGAAATGGCTAAATTTTACTTTGTAGAAATTTGCTTAGGAATAGATTATTTACATAAAAGGTTATTTTAAAATTAATTTAATTTTAAATTTTATTTTTAAAAAAGGCATATTATTTATAGAGATATAAAACCTGAAAATATTTTACTCGACATTGATGGGCATATTTGTATAGGTTAAATATTTTATTAAATAATGCCTTTAATTTTTAATTCTTTTTGAAAAATAGGTGATTTTGGTTTGTCAAAACCTGATATGGATAAAAACGAATTTGCTTATAGTTTTTGTGGTTCACCTGAATACATGGCTCCTGAAATGCTTTTGAAAGTTGGACATACATATACTGTTGATTATTATTGTTTAGGAGCTTTATTATATGAATTAGTATATATTTTTTATTAATATTTATTTTTCATATTCTAAATAAATAAAAAAAGGTAACTGGTTTACCTCCATATTATAATCATGATACGAATTAAATTTATTAAAGTATTTTAAATGAAGAGTTGGAATTTCCGAATCATACTTAATTATCCTTAGAGTTAAAAGATTTGTTGTAATAACTTTTAGCCAAGCATCCTTTGAATAGGTTAGGGGTCGTAAATGGAATTAGAGATATACTTAGCCATTAATGGTTCAAAAATATTAATATTGTTGATATTTTAGAAAAGAAAGTTGATCCTCCTTTAAAACCTAATATTTTAGGCTTTAATTTTGATGAAGAAGAGTTTTTGAATGGAGAATAAGAATTTAAAAATAAACTAATTAATTGTTAATTAGGCAATGATGAAAAAGAGTTGCCTATGATATTTAACAACTTTTATTTTGATGTAAATAAAGAAAGAATGAATAAAAAAAAAAATCAAGAAGAAAATAATTTAAATGGAATTAATTTAAAATAATAAAAAATGCAAGAATAAATAATATCGAATAAAAAAAATAATAATTATGTTTATTAATAAAATGCAAGTAATAAAAATAATTATAATAATATGAATTTAAATAAAAATAATTTAAATAATGTTAAAATTAATACTTAAAAATAAAAAACTGTTTAAAGTTAATAATAAATAAAAATTAATAAAATAAATTCAAATGATTATAATTTAATTTAAAAAAAACCTGCTAGTTTAAATAACTAAAATAAAAATTAAAAATTTGATAATAAAAATTTAAAGTTTAATTCGGATATGAAAATATTTACAAATAATTTTATAAATAGTAGTAAAAATATAAGTTAATTAAAAAAATAAAAACAGAGGAGGATAATGAAGAAAACAATAATTATTTTAATATTTCGAATCGATTATTAACTGATATAAATAGAAAGAATATCATAACTAATCCAAAAGCAAAAAAAATTAGTATAAATAAAGGGAAATAAATTATTTCTATATCTCATTAAAATTTAAAAACTAATAAAATATTATTTAATTTTAAATAAAAACAACTCCAATAATTGTATCAATATTAATAAAATGTTAAATAATATACTCCTTTAGCTTTTATTAAATAAGATGAATTATAAAAATTAAATAATAGGTTTTGATATTTTTTTAATAAAACTTTAGAATAATAAATAATTCAATCATTTAATATAAATAAATATATATTAAAAAAATAAAAGTATTCAAAAATTAATAATTTTTTTTTCTCTTATTAATTCAATTAACACAATAACTTATAAAATTCTTTAATTTTATCTAATAATTAAATTTTATAGGTTTTAAATATTAACTAACAAATAAAAAAAAAGTCATGCCAAAAGTAAAGTTTTTTCTATCGGCTAAATACTAATTAATTTCCAATAATATTCAGGTTCAGTTGCATTAGCATCGAACATAGCTATTACTTTATATCCGTTACGCATTACCCCATCAAGAGAACCTTCTTTAATTATATTTTTTTTTTATTAATCTACATAGCAATGATGATTCTGACAATGAATTGTAACATAAAAAGTAGGTTATCCCATTTAACTAATTTCACATTTTTCAATATTAGATTTAGTAATATCCCATATTTTAGTATATTTTGGTTTTATTTTCTATTTTTTTAAAAATATATTAATTATATTTGTAGAAATTTGAAATTTACTTATTATGCCCAAACATTCTAAACAGATTTAAAATATCCAGATGCTTCTCCTGTACAAGTTTTATCAATAACAATGAAGTCGTTACCTAAATGTGCTTCGTAAGCTCTAGTAAATACTGACTAAAATTTAAAAATATTTTATTTTTTTATTTTTATTTTTTACAATAATTGAAGTATCAATATCATTAACAGTAAACTCAGGATCAAATTTTCTTATAATTTCAATCGATTTTTAAATATTATCATCTTTACTTGTGTTTTCCTTGAAAAAAATATAGATTAAAAATATATATTTTAAATAATACCTTTAAAAAGTTAATATTACTAATGACTGATTTAAAGCTTGTCTTAACACTCTCATCGTAAGTTTATTTAACTTCCTTTACTTATCTTTTCAAACTTTCTTCTTATGCAACAGATTATTCGAAAATACCCAAATCTAAAATCACCCATTTTTTGCTTTATCCCGGTTTCATTCTTAAACCAAATAGATTGTAAATCGGAGTTATTTTTTTTTAAAGATTATAATTAAATTCTTTTTTCCAATCATCCCAATCCCAAAACCAAGATAATTCATAAGGATAAAAATATTCTTTTTAACTTTTAGTAAAATACGGAGGTCTAGAAAAAAGCCTTTCTTCCCCAATAATTTCATCCCATTCTCGTTTTTCACAAATACTATCATGTCTAAGGGCAAATTTATCAAACATTTTTGTGCAAGGTTTCAAATATTTAAATTCAGCCTAATGCCTATGCTTACCCAAAGAAACAATATTTGAGTATTTCCTAAAAGCTTCAGTAAATAAATCACGATAATAATCTGGCTAATCATCATGGTAATAAGGACTATCAGTTTATATTGTGGCCGGTAAATCTTCATAGTTTAATTTATACAATGATTTCATTTACTCAATATCAAATTTCATTTATTTATCATCTTATAAGAAAGGAATTCTTTTATAATTTATTTTTTCTTTTAATTCTTCATTTATAAAATGCTGTTTTTTATTTTTAAAAAATAAAATATATTAAATTTAGAATATACTTCTTTCAATTCCCACACTGTCATATATTCGAAGTATTCTAATTCTTTTTCTATATATTCTTCAGCTCTATTATAAAGAATCGGCAAATTTTAACTTCTTCCTTCCATATCCAATTAATAATTATGTATAGTTTAATACATTTCGTAATATTTATATCTAAATCTAAAATATTTTTTTTATTAAAAAAAATAAAATAAAAAGTTAATTATAAAATATTTACTATTTTCTATTAAATAGTTTGCATTTTATAGTATATAATTTTGCTAGCATTTTGTCTGTTGGAGTTTAATAATTATAATTAAGATATATGCATACGTCAACATCATCAATTTCTTCCCCATCTGTTTCTTCATCTTTTTTTTTTTATACATCATCATCATCATCTTTGTTCATTTCTTATTCAAATCTTTTTTCTACTTCTTCATCTTATTTTCTCATTTTGTCCATTTTTTTATTGTCCCTTTTTTTAACAAACTCCTCTTTAAAAACTTATGCTTTTTCTTTTAATTATGATCCCACATCAAAAATATTAATATTTTGATAAAAAAATTTAAATCTTTAGTATGCACTTCTTTATACCTTTTCAGTTTTCTTTTTCTCTTTAGAATAACGTGAAGAAGTACTTTTTGCTTTTTAATTTTATTAACTTGACTCAGTTTTTTATTCATTATTTTTTCCTTAATTTTATGTTGTCTTTTATTCATTATTTGAATTTTTAGGCTAATTACTTAATGAAAAATAATTTGCATTTTTCATAGAAAGAAGCATTCTATTATTGTATTTTATTGTCTAGTTTTTTTTACATTTTAATTTTTTTAAAAACTGGAAACATTACTTGCAATATTGATGAATTAATAAACTTAGAAATCATATTTTTATTATTTATTTCTTTTTGTACTTAGTATATTTTAGTTCTTGAAATTTCTATTTTTTATATAGATTAAGATATACAAAAGTAATAAATAATTATATTAAAAAAAGTATAAAATTAAATAGCTTATATAAAAATATAAAATAATATAAAAAATACATTTATTATAATTAACAATAAAAATATAATATTTTAATTTAATATTGTATATAATTAGTCTGAAGAGCCTTTTAAATTAAAATTATCAAATAATAAAAATCCATAGCTATTTAAAGGAATATATTCGCTAAAAGAACTTGTGATTTTGCTTAGAATTCATATTAAATAATTAATTAATCTAATTATAAATTATAAATATTTATTTTATTTATATTTTTAAAAAAAACATAATTTTAAATATCTCCACTTTTAGTAGTTGCTCTTAAAACATATGTATATGAAATTCTTACTTTTTAATTTCTTCTTTTTTTACACATATTTATAATATAAGATAAACAAATATAATTTTCATTTAAAAGAAATTAAAATCATTCATTTATCCAATCATTATCTATTAATTCAGTTTTAAATATTTTGTAATTTAGTTAATTTGTCTAAATTTATTATTTTGATATTATTTATTAAAAGCAATATCTTTTGTAAATATCTACAAAAATCATTCAATATAATAACTAAAATTAAATAAATATATAAAATAGTGTTTTGATATTTAATACCCGTTATATTTTTCATTTAAATCTTCTAAATTTCTAAATTAATAATTTCGAAATACACTTTTTATTATTATCAACTCTTAAGCAATTTAAAAAAGAATACCTTAATCTTATATTAATACTTTTTATCCACATAAAATAATTGAATATCAAACTCAGAATATATCATTAAATTTTTTTGAAAAAAGTATATTTTATAACTTTACATCCATCATTAAAATATACTTTTTTTATAAATGTTTTTTATTATTTGTGAATTTTTATATAATCATCTTTTTATGCAATCTCTAAATATTTTAGTTAATATATTTACTTTTATATAAATAATTTTTCTTAAAAGTAATTAATATAAAGTATTTTAATTATAAATATTTTTTTTAATTTTAAATTAATTAACTACTAATTTCTTTTTTTATATATTAATATTCACTTTTTCTTTTTTTTTATTGAGTAATTATATTTATTTTTGTAAAAATTTTAGAACTTTGATTTTAATCTAATATATTTTAATTTTTTGTATTTTTAACTAAATTAAATATATTAATTCTTTTTTGTATTTTAACAAAATTAAATATATTAATTTTTTATCTTAATTAAAAAAAATATCAATTTTATTATTTCTATAATAAAGATATCAAATATTGCTCATCTATAAAGTATTCAACATATTAATTTTAATAAATTAATGAAAAAAATAATTTATCATTTTTAATAAAAAAAATTCAAAAAAATTAATGATAATTTTTAATTAATTTATATTTTATTAAATATCATGAAATAAAAAAATATATTATAAATTTTATAATATATATATATAAATATAATTCTAGCATTTTATTTTTAATTATTATTTATGAAAAAAATATCAAATATCTATTTTCTTTAAAAAAAATTCTTAAATATTTTATGCTTTTAATATCATATAATTATTAAATAAATAAATAATAGATATTTTATATTTTTTTAAAATTAATATTCAATCATCATGACGTTTATTATTTTTTTATTTTTTCCAATCAGTTAGTTCTTCAATTAAAGCTTCGGATGGCGAAATATTATATCTTTGTAAAATTTTCTAAATATTATAATTTATTTTTAATAAGTTAATATAAAAAATATTTATATATTTTTTTATTCAAACCTATACTTATCCAGCATCTGAAGTTTCATGTTCTACATCTTCTACAAACTTAGATGTTTGACTAAGCTTTTCTAATAATTTCTTCATTTACTTTTCTTTATTTATAAAATAATATATTTTTAAATAAAAATTTAATACATTCTTCTTATGTGAAATATAATTTTTCTTTTGATTTATGTTATTTATTTAACCAATCGTCTTCATGTTTGGAAAATTAATATTTAGGAATAAGTCTTAAAGATTATTAAAGCTAAACTTATTTCAATAATGTTCTAATCATTAACTATTTTTTTTATTTATAAAATAATTAAAATTAATAATATTTTTTTTTTCCTTTTTTATATTATAATAAAAAAAATATAGTTAAATAATATATATATATATATATAAATTATACAAACATCAGATAATTTATTCATTACTTATATTTATCAATTATTTTTATAACTCCTCAAAATAATATATTAACCTACAAAATAAAGTTTGAAAAGTACATAGTCTATAGCAAATTAATTAAAAGTTATAAATATTTCTAATAAATTAATATATTTTTAATTATTATTGATTAAAATATATAAACTAATAAATAATTAATAATTATTTACTTTTTATTTTTACAATTAATTTTTTTTATAATTCTAAAAATGATAGAATAAATATATATCTCTTATTTACTTTATTATGTTGAATTATAGCTTTTTTCATTTTTTAATCACATATTTACTTAATTGGTAAATTTTTTAAACAAAAGTATATAAATTATAAATTTAAATTAATTTTAAAAAACTTTTTAATTTCTATTTAAAATCATATATATATTTTTTTTAAATAGAATATATTTATAAAAAATAATTTAATTTTTTATAAAAACAAATATTAGATATTTATTTTTATATTGGCGCGAATCTATAACATAATATTATAAACATCCGCTTTTCACATATATTTTAAATATAATTTAAGTAAAATATATAGCAAATCAAATAATAAATATAAATTAATAAGGAATTATTATTAAAATAATAAAAAATATGGAATATATTGACGAATATTATGAGGAAGAATTTTTAGATTATATTGAAGAAGTTCAACCAGAAGATGAGTAAGACATTGATTTCGAAGACAAAGACTTAGAAAATTTAACAAACAAAAAATATAGACGCCCAGAAGTCGATAGTTTAAAAATAAACAATTACAACGACATTCATTTTATGCTTTTAGATACTGATTATTACGTAATAAACCAAGGCGAATCAATAAAAACAGGCGAAAAAGTCGAAGATGTTCCCAAAGCACCCATAATCCGTCTATATGGAGTAACAAAAGACCAAAATAGCATAATGATTCATGTAAAAGGGAAAGACCCATATTTATATATATAAATTCCAAAAAACATTTTAGTAAATGAAATGCTATTAGAAAATTTAAAAAATGAATTAAATAAATAATCTATAAATATGAGAAGTGTTAAAAGTAAATACTTTATAAAAAAAATAGAAATAACTGAAGGAGAATCCATTAAAAATTTCAAAGGAAAAGATTATGAGATAGAAACTTTTTTAAAAATTTATACTTTTTTGCCTGCTCATGTATCTACTTTAAGAGGAATTTTTGAAAAAGGATTTCATTTCGAATCTATTTAATTTCCAAGAACATCTTTTGAGTCAAATATGCCGTTTTCTTTAAGATTTATGATTGATAAAGATATTGTGGGCATGGGTTGGATTAATTTAAAGAAAAATATGTTCGAAATAAGATCTATTGATAAACATAAATCGAGATGCTAGATAGAAATTGATATTCATTAAGATAATTTGGAGGCTATGGATATTAATTTACCTGAATGTATAGAAATTGCGCCTTTGAGAATTTTCAGTTTTGATATTGAGTGTTAAGCAAAAGATGGAGGATTTCCTAATGCATAAAAGTAAAAATTTTTATTGATTGAAAAAAAATAAAAAATTTAGGGATCCTATTATTTAAATATCTACAGTTTTAAAAATACATGATTAATAAGATGATTTGGTTAAAACAGTGTTTACTATAGGGTCTTGTTCTAATATTCCAGGATGTATAGTTAAATCTTATGAAAAAGAAGAAGATTTATTAAAAGAATGGGAAATTTTTATGTAGTTTGTTGATCCGGATATTTATTTAGGCTATAATATTATTAATTTCGATTTTCCTTATATTTTCGACAGAGCGAAAAAATTAAATGTTAATAAAGGAAAGTAAAAAAATATTAATATTAATTTTTATTTATTATTATATAAACATATAGATTTGGTTATATGGGAAGAATAAAAACCACAATAAGCAAAATAAAAGATGGAAAATTTTAATCAAAAGCAATGGGATTAAGAGAAGTAAAATAAAAAATAAAGAAAAAAAAACATAACAAAAAATATAGACCAAAGAAATAAATTTCGAAGGTAGAATTTAATTAGATATGTTTATCCATATGTAAAAAGAATAAAAGTTAAGTTCATATAGTTTAAATACAGTGTCTTACCATTTTCTAAATGAGCAAAAAGAAGACGTTCACCATACCCAAATATCTGTCTTGCAAGAAGGGAATTCCGAAACCCGTAAAAGATTAGCGATTTATTGTTTAAAAGACTCCTAATTACCTTTAAAACTAATGTAAAAATTAATGTGTATTTATAATTATACTGAAATGGCAAGAGTTACAGGAGTTCCCATAAATTATTTATTTGTAAGAGGTTAGTAAATAAAAGTAGCCAGTTAATTATATAGAAAAGCTAAATTATGTAAAATGTTCATTCCAACAGAGAGGTCTAAAGGATAAGGTGATAAATTCGAAGGAGCTTTTGTATTAGAACCAAAAAGAGGATTTTATTCAAAACCAATTGCAACTTTGGATTTTGCTTCTCTTTATCCTTCCATCATGATGGCTCATAATTTATGCTATAGTACATTAATAACTAGAGGTAAATATAAATACGAAAAATATATTAAAAAAAAAAATTAAAGATATTACTTTAAAAATGAATAAGGATGATTATACAGCAACTCCAAATGGTGATTATTTCGTGAAACCACATATAAGGAAAGGAATTCTTCCTGAGATTTTAAAAGAACTTTTAAATGCAAGGAAGAAAGCCAAAAACGACTTAACTTAAGAAACCGATCCCTTAAAAAAAGCGGTTTTAGATGGGAGATAATTGGCTTTGAAAATTTCAGCAAATTCAGTTTATGGATTCACTGGGGCTTAATTGGGTTAACTTCCATGTTTGTAAATATCTTCATCCGTCACTTCATTTGGAAGAAATATGATTGAAGGTACAAGAGATTTTGTATTAGAACATTTTAGTAAGAAAAATGGTTATGAATATGATTCGGATGTTATTTATGGAGATACTGATTCTGTTATGGTTTAATTTGGTGTTCCGACTATTTAAGAAGCTATGAATTTGGGAAAAGAAGCGGCGTCATTAATCACGAAAAAACTTTTTATAAATCCAATTAAGTTGGAGTTTGAAAAAGTTTATTGTCCATATTTACTTATTAATAAAAAAAGATATGCTGGGCTTTATTTCACTAAGCCAGATAAATATGATAAAATAGATACGAAAGGAATGGAAAATGTTAGAAGAGATAATTGCTAGATGATTAGGGATATTATGAATAATTGTCTTAAGTATGTTTTGGTGGAATTTAATAATAATGGGGTAGAAAAAGCTATTGAATATATAAAAGGAATGGTTTCAGATTTATATTAAAATAAAATTGATATTTCTAAATTAGTTATTACTAAATCGTTAACAAAAAAAGCTTAAGAAGGTGATGATGAAGATGATGAAAATGAGAAAAAAACAAAGTATTTTTTTATTCATTTTTTTATTTTTTTTAAATATAAAAATATTATAGTAAAGCAAATCTAAGTAAAGATTAATATAAATCTAAATAAGCTCATGTTGAATTAGCAAAAAAAATGGCTTTAAGAGATGCAGGAAGTGCTCCTAGTATTGGCGATAGAATTCCTTTTGTTATAATTGCAGGTTCTAAAAATGCAAAGAATTATGAAAAAGTTGAAGATCCTATATATGTGGTTAACCATGACATTCCTTTAGACTATGATTATTATATAGAAAAATAAATAAAAAAACCATTAATTAGAATATTTGAACATATAATGAAAAATCCAGATACTTTATTTCAAGGAGAACATACAAAAATAAGATATTAGCCAAAATTAAATGCTGGACTAGGCTTAGGAAAATTTGTTGTTAAAAAAGAAACATGCCTTTACTGCAAATGTCAAGTTCCTAATAAAGAAGCTTTATGCTAAAATTGTGTAGGGAAAAATAATAATAGGATTGTAGAAATATATACTGAAAAGTTAATTATGCATTAGAGTATTGAATATTAGTTTAACTAACTTTGGACAGAATGTTAGAGATGTTAAGGAAGTTTACATGATGATGTTATTTGTCAAAATAGAGACTGTCCTATTTATTATAAAAGAACAAAAACTTAAGGCGATTTAATGAGATCTTAGGAAATTATTAATAGATTCTAGAATTGGTGATTATTTAAAAAAAAAAAAATTAAAATTAATTATATGATTTGTAAGTATAAAAATTATTAATTATTTATAAACCAATAATTTATTCTAAAAATTTAAGAACTTTATTGAAAAAATTAATAATTTTTATATAAATATTATGTTTTATTTAAAATAAAAAAAAATTGTTAAATTAAATGCAAATATATGATTTTTTAATCTTAAATAAAAATAACTTTAATAAACTAATAAACTTATTTTAAATATATTCTTCAATTTATTATTTATACACATAACATTATATTTTTATTAATTATAAAAATTATTTAAAATATATTTTATATTAAATTTAATTTTATTAAAAAATTAATATTAGATAAATCATATTCAAAGTTCACATTTTCTTTAAAAAAGTATTTTAAATTAATAAATTAAAAAGTAATAAATATATATAATGTAAGCAGCAAAAGAAATACAATCAAAAATATAAAGCAAATAAAAATAATTTTTGCAGTTTCAAACCAATGAACATAGGCATGAATATTAAGTGCAAGGTTTAAACATAAAAAATTAAAATAATTAGATATAAAAAATCAATACAAATAATAATAGTAACAATAATAGAAGCAAGAAATCTAATTTCTAACAGCTCAGATGGTTCAGATCCTTTTGTTAAAATAACAGTAGCAAATCTAACCTCTTAAGTAACTGATATGAAAAGCAATGCAAACACAGTAGTATTTAACTAATCATTTACATTTAAAGATTTAAAATTAAATAAAATCGAATTTGAAAATTAGGAAATATTAATTTAAGTTTTTGATTAAAATCCTTTTAAATAAAACGAATTAGTAGGTCAGCAATCTATAGGAATTTCGACTCTTTATAAATCTAACAACCACGAATTTTTTAAAGTTTGGCTTCCTTTAATAAATCCATAATATGGAATATAATCTAGAGGAGCTTTACTTATATCTTGTTATATTATAGGAGTGTCTGACAGACCTCCGGTACATGATATAAATGAGTACAATGAAAATAATGATGTGTTTTTTTTTAATAATATCCCTGATGAATAATTAACTAATGAATAACTTTAATTAAAATAAAATTTAAAAAAAGGAGTTGTTTCTCTTCCTAAACCTGAAATTATTAACGATAAACTTTAATTTTTAGTATCTATTGTAAGAGGAGAAGATTTTCCGATTCTTTAATATTCATCATGTGATTCGTATATATTTAAAAAAATTAATTATTATTTTTACTTATTTTTTTTTAATACAGATTTATTTCTTGTAGAGTAGGAAGTAATGTATTAATAACTTAAGTAGTAAAGAATTCTCAAAAGCCAAGCTATCAAGCCAGAATGGTTTTCCCTATTTATTTTCCAGTTTTTAATGATAGAATTGTTATGAGAGTTTGGGATAAAGTATATAAATATTGTATTTTTTAATTTTATTTTAATATTTTTTATAAAAAAGAGAAAATTTGTATCTGATACATTCATTTCTTGTATTCCTGAAAAAGAATCAGAAGGAGATTGGTTTTCCATAACTTCTCTTCATTCGAGAGGAGGTACAATGCCATTTAAATGGGTATTTTTTTATTTTGTTCTTTTGAAAAAATAAATTTAAAGTTTCATTTATATGGAATTCCTTTAAGTGAACGTCCAAATAACTTTGATCAAATAATAGCTGGGAGAGTTAAATAAATAGAAGGTTCCGCTTATTTTGGTAGAGTTTTATTATCTTTATCTTTATCTCCTAATGAAAATGCATAAAGCGAAGTCCAACCATTAGCTGTTTATAAAGAACCTCCTTTATTAAAGTATGTTTTAAGAGTTGACACATATGAATTATAAGTACAAATATAACCTAATATATTTATTTAATTATTTATAAAAAAAAAACTAGAGCTAATTTGATTGTGGAGACTATATAATAATAGAAATTTCTTTAAATGGAAAGGTACTTAGAAGTAATGCTTGCCAAAGGAAAAAATTAAAAAATGAGAATAAAACAGATAAATAAAAATCAAATAATGAATAAATAATAATTGTAAATTAATATGAATGGAAAGAATCTAAAATAAAAACAAAAGAAGATTTGTTAGTAAAAAAAATAAAAAAATAAGAGAATATATTACTTTTTAATCATTGGTTTATTTTATTTTTTAATAGCTTTTTAAAAATTTAATCAAAAAAAAAGAAGACCATAATCAATTTTTACTTTCCCTTTTTTTTTTTTTTATTAAATATTAAGTTTTTTTAAAAAAACACAGAAATAATAGTGATAAAAAGTAATTTATTTATATATATAATGTATAATTATTAAAAAAAAGATAGATTTAACATATGATACTGAATAACATCCTGATTTAATAATTTCTTTATATTCGACTTAAGTAATAAAAAAAATAGTTTAAAAAGATAAAGAATAAAGATTAGCATACTTAAGGGTCAAACTTAATTCTCCTGATTTAGAAAATGAATATCCTAAATGGTATACTCTCAAACCAATAAAATATTCTTCCTTTTCCGAAGTTCATTCTCATGTTTTGCTTAATTTGGAATTAAAAACTGAGCAAATAGCTAAACAAAAATCACGGCATGACATAAAAAGAAAAATAAAAGTTTAATATATTTTCAAAGCATACATTTATGGAGCTTATGATTTATGCCCAAAAGAATTTCAAGAAAGCATTGAATGTGAAGTATATTTACAATTAGGAGCTTATCAAAAGCCTATTTTGAAAGGAAAAAAAGGTAAAAATGTTATATGGAACATCAAATTGTAAGAAGAAATGTAACTAGATGAAAAATTAGAATTTTCATCAAATATAATTTTGTCTTTTGCAAATCTTTAAGCGAAAGGAATTTTAGGATCTGATTATTTAGCTGATAAATCTATAGGTTATTAAAAAATTTCACTAAAAAATATTTTAAATTTCCTATTTTTTATTATTTAATTTAAAAACAAGAAAAAAAATAAAAATAATCAATATTTTTTAAAAACAATCTTTTTTTTATATATAATAAAAAAAAGGATAATGCATTATTAGGGCATCTAATTGTGAAATAAAATTAAATAAAAATAGTGAAATAGAATCTTTAGATGTTTTACCAGAATACCAGTTTTATCACATAATCAAAAATGGAATCAGTAATGGAAGAATACTTGCTTGCTTTTAGCTTATTAGAAAGGAATAATAAACTATAAAGTATATGAATAATGAAAATATAGGCAAAATACTAGACGACAATTAATTTTATTTAACTTAAATTTAATTGCCTGTAATAGGAATCAGAAATTTACCTATACCATTAAAAGATCCTGTTATGTATTTTCGTATTGCTTAGCCAGATGTTAAATTTTGTTTGTAAAAGAAATAAAGATAAGAAAAAAAAGCAAAAAATGAATATTATTATGAAACGATGATAGAAATAATAGAAAACCAAGTTCAAGATAATTAAGAAACGACAATGACAAATAAATATTATAAAAATCCTAATTTCTGTTATTAAATAAAAAATAAAATTTCAGAACCTATAAAAATACCTAAAGATGTTAGATTTCTACCTTAAATAGAAATCGAAATAAGAGAAAAAGATTTAAAATCAAATAATGTAAGGTAAAAAATAGAAAAATAATTATATTTACATATGTATATATATATATATATATTTATATATATATATATATATTTAGATATATTACAATGATTAATATAATTTAATATATTCCTTGGGTAAATGATAGGTTATATTATAGTAATGTAATGGAATATTTTGAGTTTATAAAGTCTAATTTCTCTATTTAAAATTAAGAAGATTAATTATTTTTATAAAAAAAGACAAAAGAATTTAATTAAAAAAAAGTTAATTTTACTATTACTGATTAAGATATTTTTACTGAGAACGTTGTTAATTAAATTGAAAACTATGCGAATGAAAGCCTTTTGAAAACTTCTTCAAATCAAAATGATGTTAATATAAAAACGAATCAAATATTGAATGAAATTAATAAAAATACTGAAAATTTTAATGACAGAGAAAATAATTAAAACTTAGATGAGAATTAATCTGACATGAATATATAAAACGAAAATATATAAATAAAATTAGATTAATCTTAAAGAAATTCAATATTAAAGAATTAGAATAATAGCATAACACAAGATAATGATTATATTTCTATATATGATAGAATTTAAATTTTTAAAAACTCTGAGTTTTATAAAGCTATTGAGTTTTATAAGGTATACATTTTTTATAAAAAAAAAAATTATTTTATTATTTGTAGGGATAAGAAGATGAATAATTTTTTAAAGAAGAAAGATAAGCTGAAACAGAAAAAATAAAAAACTTAATTAGAGATTTAGATAATACTACTATAGAAGGTAGATAGAAGTAATAGTAATTAATAAGAAACTTGAATTAATTAAAATCAAGAAGTAAAAGAATCCGCTTTTTTAGAAAAAGATGATGAATTTAGTAATATTAATATTATTATTTTAAAAATAAATTAAAATAAGATGAAGAGAATTACGATTATGGAAGAGAAATTTAAAAATAACCGATGTAAGAAATATTAGAAAAAAAAATACCTTATAAAAAATATGAATTGTACAAAATTGGATAAACAACTGTAAAAATAATAATATTAATAATATTAAAAAAAAAATTAAAAAAGCCTTTTTAATATATTGGTATACCTACATAAGCAGTTTTAAAAGCCCATTTAAAGATATTTATTTTAAGTCAAGAATAAGTAAACTAAGAAAAAACGTCAAGAAGAATAACAAAAAAATCAAATGAAAACTCAATTTTATCTTTAGGAACAGTAAAAAATAAAAATATAATCATAATTAAAAATATATAGAATTCAAGCTCAAAATCAATATAAAAGTCAGTACAAAATTCGAATTAATGTTTAATGAAATACAAAATTGAAGACGATGACTAAAATTACTCTTTCAATATTTTCAATTAATCATTTTTAAATTTTTTTAAAGAACCTTATCCTCTAAAAATTCGTGTATATATCCTCCGTTGTCTAAATTTAAGTGCCTAATCTTAGAATCTTTAAGCTTACCACCTTTTAGCAGGTATGAATGCTGTATGTTCAGCTTCTTCTTTTCCCAAAATATAAGTTGGAACAGGAAAAGATGAATATGGACGAACAGATTTAATAAAATTAATAATTGATGATCAAAACGTTTAAAAGGACACATTAAATCCTCAATTTTTTAAAATGTATTAATTAGATGCCTAATTGCCTGAAGATTGGAATTTGATAATTTCTATTGTGAACAAAGGATAAGTACTTGATTCTTTAATAGGAGAATACGAAATCGATTTAGAAGACAGAATATTTGGAATAAGCGAATTAAGGAAAAATGTAGCATATGAAATTTATAAGCAATATTATACAGAATAATTGGAAAAAAATAAATATAATTACGACCACACATTTAATAATAAAAAAAGAAGTTACGAGCAAAAAATTACCGAACTTTCCAATTTAATTGAAAGTTTTAATAGAAACTTAAAAATTCCAGTTGAATACATAGAAGTAATTTTTTATTTAATTTATTATTATTTTTTTTTAAAATAAAGCTTAAACATCCTTAAGAAAATACATGTTAAGGGACTATGGAATTATTTATTGAACCTTTTCCTACTGATATTGCACGTATAATTCCTTAAAGTAATATATAAAAACCTTCTCCTTAAGAGTTTGAAATAAGATTAATTGTTTGGGAAGTTTTTAATATTGTATTACCTGAAGGAAAGAAATCAATTAATATGTACGTATCAGTATCTTTGGATAAAAATGCTAATATAAATTAAGAAGAAGTTACTAAATAAACAGATAATCATAATGGTTCTGAAAATGGGAATGGCGTGTATAATTATAGGTTTTTTAATTTTTTTATAAATCTTTTTAAATAAAAAAAAAAGAATGAAATTCCCTCTTTGTATACCTTGTATTTTTCCTAGATTAAGGATATAAGTTTTTGAATTTTCGACTATTGGAGCCGATGAAAATTTAGGAGAAACTGTAATTACGTTAAAAAAGTAATTTCTTTTAAAAAAATTTAATTTACATATTTAAATTTTTCAGTATAATTAAAAAATTGCAAATCAACGGAAGCTTTGAATTAGCCACTTCTAAATATTTACTTGAGCATCCTAAATTTCCAGATTAGTACAGAGGAGATATATCGTTATCAATGAGTATAATTTCTAAATAATTAGCTGAATCATAACCTGTAGGAGAAGCCTAAGAAGATCCTAATGAAAACCCGTTTTTAGAAAAACCTAAAGAAGGTAGAGGAATAAACAATTTTTTAAAAGGTTCATCTTTTGATTTTTCTGGATGGGGGCTCGGAATTCTTAAATATGTAAAATGTTTAGCTATTTTAGCTGTTGTTGTTTGTATTATTATAATATTGTTTATTTAACCTGGTATTATGGTTAAAAGTAAATGAAAGATGAAATATTATTATTTTTATAAATGAAATCCAAAAATTTTAATTTATATATTTTTAATTTAATAGTTATATATATATATATTCTTAATATTTTATAAAAAAATAAATAAATATTTAAATACAATCTATTTAAAAATTAAGAAGAAAAATAATCTCATAAAAATATTATTTTTATCATTTTTATTCCATTTATTACTTAATGCATATAATTCAATATAAAATTTGACTACAGTTATATTTTGATCTTTGAAATATGACAGCTTATGTTTAATTTATTTATTTATTTGTAGCATATTTAACCTTCTCTTTCTACATTTTAATAAGCAAATATATAATAAATAGAACTTCTTTAAAAAGTGCGTTCCTTTTAAACTCATTTAACTATAAATTATATTTTTCTACTGGGATATATGCATGCTTATACTAAACTCTAAAAAATAAGGAATATGTAATCTCGGGTTAATATATTTTATAATAATTTTGGAGTATTTTATATGTGGATATTGTGCCTTAACAATAAGGATATAAATATTTTTTAAAAAAAATTAAACAAATTTGTAAAAAAAGTTGTATAAGGTGGCTAATTTAGATTAAATATCTATAAAAAATCAAAATAAAAGAAGAAATTTGTTAATTGAGTTTACTTTTGAGTAGTTAAAATTTCATTTTATTTGTATATAATTTAGAAAAAATTATTATTATTATAGTTTGTATAATAAATAGAAAATATTAATTAGAATAATTTTAGATTAGATTATAAAAAATATGATATAAATTTTTAATTAAAAAATGTTACCTATTTTATTATTTTTATGTCTTTTTCTGGAGTAATAATTATGTTCAGGCTATTTTAACATTTCGGTTAAAAATTTTTATTTCTTTTAATAAAGATGACGAAGATAAAAAAGTAAGAACTTTATTATTATGTTTTTAGGTATATTTACTTAGAGTTATTTTGTTTGTTTTATGATTACTGGATTATTATGATTTTGTGATTTTTGATTAAAATGTAAGCAATATTCTATGTATCAAAGGATTACGAAGCTAAATAAGAAATTTTTTAATTATATAGGCTTATTTAAGCTATTAGTGTTGCCTTTTTTTAAATTATTATTATTTTGGAAAAATAATATATAATCTTATATTTTGAAAAATATAATTATGTTAACGCAAATAATTTATAATTTTTCTAAAAATTTTTGAATAAAATATAATGATAAAATGAAAAATATGTATATTTGTATTTAATTAAATATTTAAATTAATAATTGGTTAAATTTCATTTTTTTTTTGGTATAATTTTTTTGTTATTTTATATATAAACAATATGTTTGTATTCATAAGCAGATAAAGAGAATATTTTACATTTTAAATTGGATTTTTTTTTTTATTATTTACATGTTTTTATAGGATCAATTAGATTTATATATTTATTCATAAATTTTGTTTGAAGTTTAAATTTTTATGATTGTTTATTTAAATTTTTATATTATATGTTTTATCATTTTGGTTTTTCAATTATTGTAGAAAGTAAAAATTTAATATTTTTAAGAAATAACAAGTTATCAAATATAATTAAGAATAATAAGACTAACTTTATTTAAATATTAGGGACGGCTTTCTATCTATTAATTTTTACTCTTTAATTAAAATTTTGTCTTTTATTTAATTTCTATTGTTTTGGTTTTTTTAAATTATTTATTTATTTTTTTAGGGAGAAAATGAGTAAAAATAATTTTTATAATAATAATTATATATTTAATATTTTTTTATATTACAATTAAACCATTAAAATAAATCCATACATTTATACATATATGATATCTTTAAAATAAAAATAAACATAATTATGTAAAAAATAATTGCAATTTAACATATCATACTATAAAATAAAACAATCCAAGAACAAACAAACTCTAAAAAACAATAATCAAACTTTAATTGCTTTAATTATTTACATCTTCTTCTAGTTAAATATTACTATTTTTACTAGTCTACTAAGTCTATCCATAAATATTCAACGAGAAGTTTTTCTTTATTCTAGAAACATCTTCTTAACCTAATCTCCTTAATCCTGAACTTTAGCTTTTAATTATTATCTACACTTAAATTTTGGCATCTACAGCAGGTTCCATAAGTTTCACAGCAAGAACAATATTTCCTGCTGAACTAGAAACAATTTTAGTTAATTCAGTAATATTAAGAACTAAATTATTATCCATAAAATAGACGCCTTTTAGTTCCAAATTTTTTGTATAAGTTTAGTCTAAAAGATAGATTTTAATATACATCGTATCTGAAACTTAATAATTTAATTCACCCTTTATTTAATTACAGCTAGAATCCTTACATATCTAAGATGAAGAGGTCAAATCAACAACAACAATGCAATCTTTATCTATTTCGCACTTATCGGTTATTTATTAACTTATATCAAGTTAAAAGACATTAGTAATATTCCTTTTCGTGTAAGTAGTCATTGTGAATTTATGCTGTCTCAATATTTTTCTTGAGTTTCCCATTTCCAAAGCTGTATCAATAACTTAATAAATTTAGTCTTCCTTTAAACTATTCACTGTAGCTATTTAATGTACATCGATTAAAGGAATTCTAATAATAACATTTGTTGTATCTATTATCTATATATAGTCTTTACTAATACTACTTAGAGGTATATAATTTTTTTGTTAGTCTAATCTTATTAATATATTCGATTAAAACTCAGAAATACAATAAGGAGGAATATATGACATTCTAAAATCGAATTTAAGATGATTCTATAAAAAACTATGGTTTTCTATTTAAGTCACTTCACAATGAGATTAAACTACAATAGTTGTTATTTATTCATATAATTCTAAATCACATTAAGATATTTCTTAACTTTAAATTTCTATTAATTCTTTACATCCAAAGGGCTGTTCTTTAGAAGTTGCAATATATCCTTCTAAGCAAAAACAAAAACGATTTTATTCATTCATAAAAGAAAGCATATCTTTACAACCTGTACAGATTAAGGGATGACTTGAATCAAGACAATCACAACTTCGATGACATTCTTATATCGCAAATACAATTGTTATAAATAATAATAGTATTATTAAAAATTTTTTCATGTTTATTGTTTGAAAAAAGGTATGTTTTTTATTATTTGATTTTTTTATAAATATATATGTGTTAAATTATATATATATATATTTTAATTAAATATATTATTTATTTTAAAATTGATTTTTAATTTTTATTTTATTTTTTTTAAAAAAAATATTTGTTGCCTATATGTATCTTTAGCATAAAATAACGAAATTTTGAAAAAACGCATTTTATTAAATTTAAGGTTTAATTTTCATTTATTTTATAAAATTTCAAAGATAGATAATTTTTTATCGCTTTAAATAAACGCATATTAGATTTTTTATAAAAATAATTTTCTTTCTTTATAAATATGTATGTATTTTATAAAAAAAAATTAAATAAATACATTCAGTATAAGTTTTTTATTATATAAAATAATAAAAATAACAACTGTTAAATCTGTTAAATCTAATTTAAAATCATTTTAATTAATATTCCTTAGAAATAATCATTTAATAAAATAAATTTCAGTTTTTTAAATATTTTATAATTAAATATATTAATTATTCTTAGTTAAAATATTTTTATTATAAAAATATTTTTATAATAGTAAATAATTTTTTTATAATAATTAATATATTTTATAATATCTTGTTATTATATTATTATAATTAAATATATATAATAAATCATTAATTTTCTAACAAATTCATAATAAAGAATCTTATAGTATTGATTAAAATTATTATTAATTTTTTTTTATAAATAATTCATTTAATTTTTATATATATTTATTTTTGATTATTATTTAATTACCTAAAATTTTAAATATTAAAATAAAATGTATACATATTTGTCATATTATTATAAGTATTAATAAAATAAATTTGATTATTTAATTTTTTCTTAAAATAATAATTAAAAAAATTATTATGAAAAATATTAAGATTTTAATAGAAATGCTAATATATAATTATTTTATATTAACTTAAAAATAAACATATAAAACATTTCTAATGTTTAATTTATTTTATTGATAATTTTATAAAAAAATAAAATAATTATCTCTTATAAAATTTTAGAATGATTTTTACATTTATTAAATAAATAAAATTATTATAATTATTTATTAAACTATAAAAATTATTATTTAAGCTAAATAATAAAGACTTATATTTATAAAAAATAATTATATGAGAATAAAAAAACCATTTATACGTAAATAAATTTAAAAATCATAACAAATAAATAATGACAATCAAATAAATAATAATAATTGCCAAAAAGTATATATTTAAAATTAATAAAATCAATCTAAATTTAGAAATCGAAATTCTTAGTAACAAAATTAATTGAAAATAATAAAAATACAATAAACTTTAAATACCTTTGAATAAAAAAGTTTATTACTACAAGAAAAAAAATAAAGTTTATAATAGATTAAGCAAATAATTTAAAACTCATTTGAAGTTCAAAACTCTTATGAAAATCAAAATTACTAACAAAGTAAAGATTATTAATAAACAGCAAATAAATAGAATTCTTTTTAAAATTAAGAAACAAATCAAGAACAAATTTATGAATAAGATTAAAAATATAAAAAACACTTAAAAAGTTAAGGAACTAAAGACATGATTAACGTGTAACTGAATAATATACTTAATTTATAGATATTTTTGAAAAAATACAAGAATAAATTAAAGATTAAAAGTATACTTATTCAGAATAAATACAAAGATAAGTAGTTAGATTTTCATATATTTTTGGCAAAAAAATTCTATTAGATGATATAGATATTAGTTCTAAAATACTAAATTAATGGATGTAAAAATATGATCCTTGTTATTTTCTGGATTCTTTATATTGAATATTTTTTTATTCTATTTTTTATGTTAAATTAAAATAATTTATATAATAAAAAGTATAATTGTATTTTTTTGAAATTCTGTATAAACACTAACGGATAGGAATTTATTAGTTATCATTTATTTATTTTAATTAACTATTTTTTTATAATATTATATTAGTTTCAATTAATTTCATATTAAAAATCCTTAAAAATATAAGAAAAAAAAATGTATATATATATATATATATATTATATATATATATATATATATATATATATTTATATATATATATATATGTTACTTATTAATCGTTTTCAAATTCTTAAGCATAATCATCGCTATCTAAAGCTGCTTTTCCTTAATTAATTTTTTAATCTTTATTATTATAAAATAAATAAAATTAATTAATAAATAAATATTTAAATATTTATATAGTTAGTTTATTTAATTTAAAAAACATAATATTTTATTTTTTATTATTTTTAATTTTTAAGTCAATTGTAATATTTAAATAAATAATTTACTTGAATTTTAAGATTAGTTATGGTTTTTGTTTTTTTTTATAATTTGTTATTTTAGAATTGTTGATTTAAATTTATTATTTGTCATTTTATAAATTCTGTGATATATTTAAATAACTATTATTTTAGCAATTAAATTAATTATTAGTTTATTTGTTATTGTTTTAATATGATTAATTTTATAATTCACTACTATATTTAAAGTACTTAGACAAACTTTCGTAATATATTTTATTGATATCTTTAGAAAATTCAAAAACTTTTATCATTAATAAATCTAATTAATCTTAATTTAAATTGATATTATGCTCATAAAACATTTTAAATAATTATTTTTTATTTATTATATTTTCTTCGCTTTCTGAATTTGACTGATAAAATTATCTTATATTTTCCCATTAATTTTTAAGAATCTTTTTTTTTAAAAAATAATATTTATTTACTTTAAAATAAAATAAAATACTATTATAATTTATTAAATTATATTTTAATTCTATTATTCTGTAAATAATTCATATTTATTAATTATTTTGAATAATTTTGCTAATAAATCTTTTTTTAAAGTTAGTTTATTTTAAGAATTATTATTAAATAGATATTCACAAAAAACAGAAGAATCTTCGGTTTGCAAATAAAAAGGGTAACTTATTAATAATTATTTTAAATAAAAATTTATCTATATATAAGTTTACTTTGAAAATAAAAATTTAGTTTCATCTAACCAAATATATTCATCTAAAGTTTAAAATATTTAATTTATATTTTAATAAGGAATTAAATATAGTCTAAGAGAAAAATGTATATTTTCAGCTTTTTTTATTTTTTTTAATTAAATTGCATTAATAAATAATAATTACAAATTTAAGTTATTTATTATAAGTTTATTTAATTTTAAGTATCGTCATAATATTATTCTTAGATAATCTTCTATTTAGTTTATTGACTTTTAAATAAAAATAAATTATTATTATTATTAAAAAATATAAAAAACTTGTGATTATTGTATTTATCGTTTTTACTTTTTATATTTTCTTTATTTTAAAAATTCTCAGTATTAAATTTATTTAAATTATTTTTTTGTTTTAATTCTTTTTATCTAAAAATAAAAAATAATTTAGAGAGTATTTTTTTTTGTTAGCATACTTTCTTTAAGTATTATCTAAATTTTAATTAGCCAATATTTTTCCAAATTCATTTTTTAATTAATTTATCTCTTTATCTTTATCTTTTATATACTTTCTAAGAGTATTTATTTATAAATTAGAGCTTTTTTCATTATCTTCATAATTTTGCTTTATTAAATATAATAAATACACATATTTTTTTTTAAAAAACATACTTTTAATAAAAAATATTGATTTTCTAAAGTCTTTAATTTTTATGTCATTTAAATCATATAATTTTTATATTATTCTGTATTAATACTAGTTATCTAATATTTCTATTTTAATTCATTAAAATCTGATTCTTTTCTATATTAAAAATTTCATTAAAAAAGAAAAAGTTAAAAATTTACGTTAATATCTCAACTCTTTATTATATAGTTTATTCTAATATTTCTTTCAATTTTTAAATTTCTTGATTGAGTATTTAATTTTAAATTTACAGTTCCTAAATTTTAGTAAATTTAACCTATTTTTTTATTTTATAAAGTTCATCTTCTTTCTGCTATAATTAAAGACGCAAATCATTTGCTGTTTTTTTTAAATTTTCTGTTATATACTTAGTTTTATTTCCATTCTATAAAAAATAAAAAAATTATAAAAAAATAATTAAATAAACATCATCATGTTTTTTTGATTTTATGTTTTCCTTTATATCTTTCTTTAATTTTAATATTTAAGTTATATTTTTTAAAAAATATATATATAGCTTTATTAATTTTACTTCCATTTACATAATTTTTGTTTTTAATTTAATATTTTCATTTTATAATTCATTTACTTTATTTTTAAGATTTAATGAATCTGCGTAAAGCTTTTCTTTTTCAACATAATGTAATTTGGGTGTATTTTTCATTGATTCTAATTTTAA